AAATAAAATAAAAAACAAAACAAAACAGCCTTCCCTCAAAAATGCAAAACTGTTGCCCTTCTAGGGTGTTGCGTTCAACAGACCAAGATCGCTTCCAAGTCATGTTCTGCTATTTTGAGGATAAAGCAATTCAAAAAGACAAATCTGGTAAGATTCTAGTATCTCAAGTTGCAACATAACCTAGATAAATAAAGTGTGATCTCCAGGCATGCAAAACTAAAACAAATCAAGCTGAACTAAGTAACAAAGTGAATCACTTTCAGTAGGTTGCTATTCTTTTATTTTTGCCAGAGAAAGCTGATTTTATTTTGAAACGATTTTGTTCACTGCTGACTGAGTAAACATAAACACCTTTTAACTGTTAAGCATAACATTTAAAGAAAATGTAATTCCGATAATCAGACTTGTGACTTCTCTCAATTCTTCAGGCATGATGCAGTGTGTGATAGCTGTTGCTGATAAGGTGTTTGAAGCTTTCCTGACAATGATGGCTGATAAAGTAAGTTACTTGGAAACTAACGTTAAATTTTGTACAAACGTTCTCGTTCAGTTTGTGAAAACGTGTTTAGCTTTTTCCTTAAATGCTTCATATTTCTTTTTGAAATGTTTTTAGCCTAAAACCAAGGAGAACGAAGAAGAGCTGGAGAGACATGCTCAGTTCTTACTGGTGAATTTTAACCACATTCACAAGAGGATCAGGAGAGTTGCAGACAAATACTTGTCTGGTCTTGTAGATAAGTGAGTACAGATTTCACTTCTCAGTTGCTTTTGTCACACTTACTACTTAGAGAATATTCATGGAAGTGAGGAAGGCAGTCAGGGGGATGTCACGACTGGTAGTTCTGCTACACCATCTCCTTGAAAAATGTCACTCAGCAGTGTTTTTAGACCTGGCTCTGAAACCTCTGCTTAAAATGGCAGTTTGTTTATATTATTCCCACAGATGGAGCAAAGTAAAATGTTTGTGCAATAAATGCAAAAATATGCTTTACCTCATCATACTGCATTCA